ATAAAGTGCAGGTTTTCTCTCTTTATTCAAGTCTAAACGGTTAACAGTGCAAAAAGTTTTTTAGTCTGTGAATTGAATTGAACATTTTAAGTAAATTAAACATTTTCAATTAGATCAGGCCAGGGTGATTGCGTTCCAAGTGACTTTGCATGTTTGTGGTATTAGCCGGGCAGTGTTTGCACATCACGTACTCTTTGTACGCCGCACACTCGTGTCTGGTGTAGACATGCTGTAATAGTTTCTCATCATCAGGAAAGCTTTTGTTTGTTTGGGATACTGTTTGCCATCTTTTATCAACTGTAGAAGTTTATGCAGGTCTGAATCATTTTTAGCACTGTAACTACTTACTTAACACAGCAATGCACCAAAAATATAATATTTTGGACATTTGATAAATGATTAGATGGTGCCATCGGCGTCTCTCCCAGAACAGCTGTTTGGCTCAAACTCTGTCTTCTGTTCAGTCCAGAATGCATTTGAAAAATAAAAAGTTGCTGAGGATCAATCAAATATCATTGCTGTCATAGACAGCCAGTTTCTGTGATTTAAGAATATTTAGGTTTACAAATGGCACCGCACTATTTAGCCTAATTTAATTCATGATTTTAATTAATATCAGAACTAGAATTTTCTCCAAAAAAAAGTTGTCAGTAGATTCTTGTTAGATTCCTCTAAGTGTGTGTGTGAGAGAGAGTCTCCGTGTGTGTTAAAACAATAAGCATTATAACAAAAAATTGTATAGTTTAGATGAGAAAGCAACAGAGATGAAAGTATAAAAAAAGTTAGAGAAACTAAAAAATGACAAAGTAAAAAAAAAAGGGGGGGGGGGGGGGTTTACAAACAACTAATATATCAGTGGATAGGATACCATTCAAAAACTGTATTTGCAGTGAACTCTGCTTTTCATGTAGAGAAAGTATAAATACTTTAATGCTTACTACATTGCACTAATAACTATTGTATACTCTTTGCTGCAATCTGTTTTGTTATCTTAATAAATACAATATTTAAGATAAAGCTGAAGTAATAATCAATTGATTAAAATGTTTTAATTGACAACATTTTAAGGCTGTATTTTTTCTTTTCATTTTTGGTGATTTTATTATATATAAAATGAATCCACTTTTTGTAGTCAATAAAGTATGAATACAGTGAGTTGATTGTGTGTAGTGTTTAGTAAGATGCAGTTTAATAAAACAATCTTTGACAACCTAATAAAATAATTCTTAACATTTATGCTATGTTTTGAGGGTTGATGGGACAAAAATATGGGATATATATATAATATTGTAATGTTGCTAGACTTTTACTTGCTTTATTGCATTGTTCCTGCTGTGAATTGCTTAAAGCATGAGTGAGCCGTATACTTTTTATATAATAAATAAAGGGAGCTGAACAGAAATTATGTGTAGGCCAAGTCATATGACTCATGTGATGCATTGTGTGTGTGTGTGTGTGTGTGTGTGTGTGTGTGTGTGTGTGTATGTGTGTGTGTGTGTGTGTGTGTGTGTTTGGCCAGACCATCCATTTACTGCTTGAAGTGTTTTTACAATTTTATTTTAATTGAAGTTGCTGCCTAATCATGTCTACACTGCATGCTATAAGAACAACTCAATATGTGCTAATATCCATCTTGTGTGTTAAGACTTTTAACATGTATCGCATGCTTTCAAGTGTCTGTGCTATACACTGCTCCAAGCTAGAATCTCTGCAACTGTTGGCAGACATCGACGCGCAACAATTTCACAAACTTCCTGCCGTGCGGCCGTTTGAATTCTCGAATTCCACTCGAGTTGAGTCTGGATTTGGAGCGCAGGGCTATATATACTCTGTCGCAACTATAGTGGTCTCTTCTGCTTGGCATTACGACAGCGGAGGCTGTATGCGTTCTCAACTATTGTACCCAGAGGGGCATGAGTTGTATTATGTCTGACTAGCTGGCTGGGCTATTGTTGGAATCATTCTATTAACAGGAAGAAAGGCAACAATTGAGATATGGTGTTAGACAACGGCTGCGGTCACAATACAACTGTCTGTGCAAGCCTCAGCCATCTGTCTGTCTGCATTTTATCCCGTCTGTCTTTCAGTGTTTGCTTCTTTTTATTTCTGGTTATGCCCCCTCTTCCATGTGACATGCCGCACTTTCATTTGTACGGCCTACTGTGCGTGTTGCATGCATTCTCTCTCTCTCTCTCACACACACACACACACACACACACACACACACACTAGTGCAGTCCATACTGCTGTGTGTGGGACCTACAGCTTTGCTGTCACATTTCAACCCTGTATGTTACATTCCTGTAGGACTTGGACGTGGGGGATGCACATGCGTGGATTTCTCTCACTGTCTCTGATTCCCTCATGCTTTGATTTGGGCGTTACACTTTCGCTGGCATTTGTGAGAAATTTGAATGATTGTAATTACAATACTTTAATGACTTTTCTTTAGTGCTTTTGAAGATGCAGATTTGTGATTCAGGTCTTTTTAAATTATTTATTTTAAGGAACTAGTCCAGAAGTCATTTGCTGTGAAAACTATTTTAACTATTTCATTTTCATAAATATTAGGGATGTGCGCAACGGCTAATTTCAATACTGTTTAAGTGGAAATTTTGCAGACGTCTAGTTGACTAGCCTAACCCGCCCCCCCCGGAGACTGTCTGCATATGCGATCCGTTTGAAATAGACTACTTAATCTATGAACAGTCAAATCCCATACTGAATGCAACTAAAAATAGGTCAGACACATACGATGTTCTTGCCTTGCATTATGATCATTTTATATTAAACTTGAGCGTTCACTTAAGCAACGTTAGCCATTATAGAGAGATATTTATTAAAATCAACTGAATAGCGCAGGAGTTGAAACCCAATAGCCTATTATTAACCGATTTCCTCAAATAAAAGTTAGTCCACATAAGTCAGCACGTTAAGGTGTTGTTTGACTGGGTTTAAACGCCTAGTCTTGTTTATGAAAAGTTTGACGGTCTGACAACTATATTATTTAAGTGTATTTTCTTCAAGTACGTTTCATTCATATTGTTTTTCCTTTAAAGGCCCACTAAAGTACCTTGGAACGTGCAGCTTTTGTATGATGCCTTGACGTAATTTCCACTGAAACAGGAAGCTAAGGCGGGACATATTGAATGGCTCCTCCCCCTTTTCAAATAGCCAATAGCGTTTACCTCACAGACTGCAATTCGTACTTGACAGCACCATGGAAGCGAATCCGAGGATTCAATAGTAGAGGTGTGAGTAAATTCTAGCCATGTCGTTCTTAACCAACATACAGTTGGAAAATGGAATAAAACTTGAGCATTTGAGGAACCGAACACACGTCTCCAACCCATATTGCTCCGTGACGTGTCAGCGGTCGCTTTGGCCAGGTGGTGTTTGTAGCATAGGGGGCGGGACGCTTTAGATTCTAGAGAGGATTTGATTGGACAGAAGATGTGATGAGAAGCGGAAAAAATCTGTGATCCATTTTAGTGGAAGTGAGGGACTGTAAGTTTATATCTCCTAAATGTGAATTTTGTCAGTTTTGGCACACACCAGCTTATTCATAATCTTAGGGCTAACATTCATACTAAAAGCTAAAAACTTAAATTTTGATTTCATGGGGCGTTTAATCTAATAAAAATGTTATACCATATTGTCCCTCATAACCTGTAGTATAACAAGCCTATAAGCTAGTTTAATACTAGACATGACAATAGAAGAAAATGGGAAAGTTTTGTGTACAGGCTCTCAAAATACTCCCTCATCTTGCTCATTCTCTGAGTGGACATTTCTCTGAACCCGCAGCGAGTGAAAAAAAAACAACGCTTGCAAAACCTGAGGTAAAATTAAATGATTTTGTCTACCGCTGCAGATATATACTTTTCAAAATAATAATATAATAATAATAATAATATATTCATTTCAAGATGTAACATTAACATGACAGTAATTTAAACAGAAATACTAGGTTTTTTTGCACATTTAATGTTATGCTTTATATTTCAAAGTTGACTAGCAGCAGCAGCAGTATCTTTAATCGAATAGTCTCGCACATCCCTAATAAATATATATTTTGTTGTTTGTTGGAACTAAAACTGTCAGCTAGTTGAGAATATTCTATTACAGAAAGAAAATTGTATTTATATGGTCTTTTGTCATCATCATAATCATTATACATATGATTGATATTCTATAAAAAAGTAGCTAGTTCTGAATGAGAAGCGTTTCATTGGGGACATCGATTATCAATTTCTGCATATGTTTATTTTTGACGAGTGTCTAAGATATCGGCTGCATGCACAAAGAACCAGGAGGCGAGTTGGAGCCGCACCACCATCTTGCAGCCGTTTCACCGGATAGCAGCTTGACTAAGACAGCGTTTCTCGATCCCCCTCCCTCCTTCTGTTTTGCCCTCTCTTCCCCTCTCCGTTTCCTCCCACTAGAGCCGATCCATTGACTAGAGCAGTGTCTGACTGAGCCTCTCTGATCACTATGACTCAGAACCCTGCCTGCTTTGATCTCCAGCACAAACATGCGCCCCCTGCTGGCTTATTCCACAGCTGCACATTGAGCCAGCTGCCATTTATTTCCCTCCATGGTTGACTTGTGTCGTGTGGTGATTTAAAAATGTGTGTGTGAAGTTTTGCAAATATAGATGCAGGAATATTGTGTTTCATTGTAAATTAACTTTTGGTTCAATATTGCTATAAAATATCTTGGGTTTATCACAGTTTTTAAAATGATTATTAGGGATGGATGGTATGAGACAGATAAATATAATCACGTGGCAATGCCTTTTAATGGATGCTTTGTGCTTGTTCGGCAATGAATAAATTCTGGGTTGTGCTTAACACTTCTTCCTTGTCTTGACTTGTTTGGAATAAATCCAGCTCTCTGTTTACTCATCACTTCCAAATAACATATCAGTCCTATTGAATATGAAGAAGTGTTGAAGAAATATTAGACAGTTGTTAATGTTATATCTTTTTTCTTTTTAGTTTCCTGGACAGGATTGACACTGTGAAACAGAGCGACTATACTCCCACTGATCAGGTGCGTAAAGATCCTGCAAAAATCCACATGCCGGGATTCAAACATGTTTGATATTGAAGCTTATATCATTGGCCTTTCTTGTTCTCATCTTAAATGGCATTGTTCTTTTATTCCGTATGATTTAAAGATGTTTTTTGTTGTAAATGTACTTTGTTAATGTACTCTTTCAGGACTTGCTCCGATGCAGAGTTCTGACTTCCGGGATTTTTGAGACAAGATTTCAAGTGGACAAAGTTAATTTTCAGTAAGTTTGACCAGGAGGCCTTCATACATGTATACATAATTTTTTTTATATCTATATATTTAGAAATAAATACATGCAAACATAAACACAGTCAACATCATAATCGTTTTTTTTTTTTTTTTTTTTTACAATTGGGTGGAAAAAGGGAACACATTACACTACATAAATAAGTGCTCGTTGTAAACGGGTCCATGCCATCATATCTGTGGCTTTGGACTGATGCGTTTTCTCTTTTTCTGCAGTATGTTTGATGTTGGAGGACAGAGAGACGAACGCAGGAAATGGATCCAGTGTTTTAATGGTAACTTGTGCTTTTATTGCTTTATAATAATGATAATAATAAAGGTCCATTGAGAAGGGTTTTTGAATGGCCAGTGCTGATATTAAAGGGAGGATGTACTTTTATTACAGTCTAAAATGTAAATGAATGATCATATTTATTTAAAATTCACACCAAAAACGTATCTATTCACACAGCTGACATAAAGCTTATTAGCCCGGCCAATATATTGGTTTATTCATTAGTATTAATTTGTTGTAATCAGGGCCTAAAACAAACTTTTTGCCACATCTATCAATGCTCGGGGACTTAAGAATATTTACCAGCCATAAATATTTTTAACTTGCCATTAAACTATTTTTGTGAAAACAGTTATGACACCAACATTTTAGATACCGGTTAGAATTCACTTTTCAAATACAGAAATGTAAAATAACCTCATATTCTTTTAGATTAATTCTTATTAAAGTTAAAAAAAGTTATTCTGTCGAGCAGTGAGTGATTCTATCTTTGTCCTTTTGTTTCTTGATTAATATTAAAACAGCCGGCAGCAGGATTATTAGGACGCTGACACTTTAAGAGCTAATACACAGATCTAATATGATGATACACGTTTACTGTTTCCTTTCCCCTAAGACATAACCGACTTTATAAAACGGTTAGTTCCAATCCTTGATTCTGATTGGTCAATAGCTGTGTTTTATTCACGATAAAACACTATGTATCACTACACAACACCCCTAGCAACCACTCTTGGCAACTTGGCAAACACATGTTTTGATCTCATTGGTATTGTTCATTGTATAGTAGAGTATTGTGAGAGATCGAGTTAGCGAGTGTACCTGCATTTTCCTTCAGGTCAGTCCTATATTCATAATAAAAAATAATCTGTTTGAATGTCCGCTGCGATATCTTGTCCTTTTAACAGTTAAGGGGTTTTCCCGTGCCGATAGTCATCTGTCAGTTGCGTCTTCCTTCTCCTTGATACAGCACAGCCTCTCGTACTTTATTGCTTACATGTTTACCAGAGATGGGTTGACATAATTTTATATGAATTTGCTTTGGGTGTTTTCATACAGAAAACTTTGAGTAACGCGCTTGAATATTTAAATTGTCAAGGCTCAATCTTTTATGACAATGTTGCACTGGCCCGTTAACTGTTGCGAGCGTCGTTCACATTTGTTTATGTTCTCACAACATTACATTGTTAGAATTCATTCAAATGTTACCGGCCAACTGGCGATTAACCCCCTTTCATATACTCACCAACGCCAGTTTTTGCTCTCATTTGCTGCTTGGCGAGTGTAAATTTCAGGCCTTGGTTGTAATTAAGGCAAGCTTATGATGGATTGTTTGCATTGCTGGTTCAAAGTGTATGCCAAAATCCTTTTCTTTCCTGTTACAGACGTGACAGCCATCATTTTCGTGGTAGCCAGCAGCAGTTATAACATGGTGCTCAGAGAGGACAATCAGACCAACAGACTCCAGGAGGCACTTAACCTGTTCAAGAACATCTGGAATAACAGGTACTTTTTGGATGCCTAAAACATGCTTGCACATGTAGAGAAGAAGAGGGCTTAATGAGTGTACTTCTGCATTTTCTTTAAAAAATATAAAAGTGTAGCTTTATGATTACCTTTTTTTTCCCAAATCTCTTCATTTTCTCTCTTAACTTTTCAGGTGGCTTCGAACTATTTCTGTCATTCTGTTCCTAAACAAGCAGGACTTGCTGGCTGAGAAGGTTTTGGCGGGAAAATCAAAAATCGAGGATTATTTCCCAGAGTTTGCACGCTACACTACGCCAGATGATGGTTAGTAAAATTGAATAGTTTTTCATCCATGTAATTGAATTGAATACAAATTATTGTATCAACCCAAAATTGAACCACACAGTGGTCACTTTGGTTATACTGTGGATATCACGGCATCAGTGTTATTAATTAGACCTATCTGCTTTCTATCTAACAGCAACACCAGAGCAAGGGGAAGATCCACGAGTTACGAGAGCTAAATATTTCATCCGAGACGAGTTCTTGGTGAGTCTGATTCTTGTGTGGGACCAAAATCATCATGGCAACACATCCTGAAGTTCTGAAGTATGGTAGTTGAGGAAAATTGACCATACTGTGTGCGTGTACTGGCCAAGAAACTGTATTTTTCTTTTTTTGGGGGGTTAGTCTTATTTGTAAAAAAAAGAAAAAAAAGAAATCGAAACTTATTCAGCAAGGATGCGTTCAATTGATCAAAAGTGACAGTAAAGACATGTATAACGTTACAAAAGATACCCATTAAAAAAAATGATCAATTATCAAAGAATCCTGTAAAAAAAAAAAATTAATCATGGTTTCCACAAAAATATTAAGCAGCACAACTGTTTTCAACATTGATAATACGAAATTTTTCTTGAGCACCAAATCAGGATATTCAAATGATTTCTGAAGGATCATGTGACACTGAAGACTGGAGTATAGGCCTGTTAACGTTTTTTTTTTTTTTTTTTGCTAAAGTTATCGTTATCTTTATAGTTGTGGTGCGGACTCTGCTATTCTTTTACATTTTAGAACGATTTTTACAACCATCTTTATCGTAGCATTAACATCTGCTGAAAATCCAGCTTAGCCATCACAGGAATATATTTAATTTTAGAATGTATTAAAATAGAACACGGCTATTTTAATATTTAACAATATTATTGTTTTTACTGTATTTGTTTTTATCAAAAAACAGACTTTTCAAAAATCTTACGACCCTAAATGTTAGTTTATACATAATTATGTAAACTCATCTAGGATGTTTACTTCAGTAAATTGCAAGGGTCAGACTTCCTTTGCATTGCGATTTAAACCATGTCATGTTGCTGGTCCTAATAAAATTACTACCCTTTCTCTTGTTTTGTCTATTTAGAGGATCAGTACAGCGAGTGGAGACGGCCGGCACTACTGCTATCCCCACTTCACCTGCGCCGTGGACACGGAAAACATCCGCCGAGTGTTCAACGACTGCAGAGACATCATCCAGCGCATGCACCTACGACAGTACGAACTCTTGTGATCGCAGCAGGAATGACGGGACGCAAACTCACCACCTGAACTTTCTTTAGGCCCCCCTGCCCTACATCACGCCCCATTATCAAACCACAAACCTTCAAACTGATGAGTCCCCACCACTTACACACACATGCATAATATATATATCTATATATATACATACACACACAAATACACACACACACACACACATGTGTATGTATATATATTCATATATGTATACATACAGACACACACACACACACATGGCCTTTCTCCATCCTGAGTGACTAGGGGCTGGGGCAAGGGGATGCACTGTGTTACTGATGAAAGCGTGGCTGTGATATTTGGCAAAAAGACTTGTTAACACAGCCAAGGACTACCAATGTTAATAAAAGAGAGAGAGGAAAACAAAACATGTGAGAGGGAGAGGGAGGGGGGAGAAAAGAGGGAAGAAAAAAAAACTGTCCAGGACTGCTCAGGACAAGGAAGCCATTTCGTACACATACAGACATGCGTCCAGCTAAACTCCTGACCCGCAGTCCTATGTATGTTACACGTCAAACTTGTCTCTTTTCCGATCATATGCCTAAACACACGTTACTTATATTGATGCACAAGACATACACGCGCTATTCTTATCCTCCACCGTTTTGGTCCTGTTGAACGTTTAGTGCCTGTGCAAGCCTGGCGTGTCCCTCTCAACTTTTCCCCATTTTCCCTTTCCCAACACCCCATCCCACCCCAAAGGTGGACAGATCCCCCTGGTTGAGAGCAAAACGACGGACCGTACGTTTAAAAAAAACAAACAATCAAAAAACAGAATGTAGAGCAAAATGTCTTCTTTTTTTTTCTCCAACAAAAATGGAGGGTTTGGAGCATTTACTGCCCCAGGTTGCTTTGCGTGTGGAGCGGAGAATGACTTGAACACAAGACCCATCACATGGCTTGCTTCTCTAGATACATCGCAGGAGAGGCGAGCGCATGCAATGCCAGATTCATGCAGAACAGTGAACTAAACGCAGTGCAAAAAAATCCAAACATATATATATATATATATATATATATATATATATATATGTAATAATACAACCTTTTTCTGTTTGTTAGTTTACCCAGTTTGTGTGTGCTAATATGCACCATTTTAAACCTCCAGTTTTCCCGGTTGCTCTCTCCTGTTTTCAGAGTATCATTCCTCTCTCTCTCTCTCTGTTTCTTTTTTCCCTCCTCCCCTTATCTTTCTCTCTGTCTGTCTCCTCCCTGCTGCAAAAAATCTTGTACACTGACACGTGGGGACTTCATCAGACCGAGGGTAAGACAGAGTTATGACGCAAGACTCAAGAAGGATGTCTAACGGATGGCCTCTCTCTCTCTCTCTCTCTCTCTCTCTCTCTCTCTCTCTCTCTCTCTCTCTCTCTCTCTCTCTCTCTCTCTCTCTCTCTCTCTCTCTCTCTCTCTCTCTCTCTCATCTCTCTCTCTCTCTCTCTCTCTCTCTCTCTCTCCCTTCCTCCCCTCCAACTTCCTCTCCTCCCCTTTAGCCTGGCTTTTGGTCTGTCTTTTGATTTCTCTGCTGGATCATTATTCTTGTACAGACTGTAAAATGTATTATTTTGTACAACTTTATTGAAGAAAAAAAGTAACTTGTAGAAGCTCCCTGTGCCTTGATCACGACTGTACGTGTAAAATGAGCTAAGATGTAAGTAAGATATGTTTCATTGCGCTGTTTGGCTCTGCCCTGCCTCTGTCGATTCCCTTCAACTCTGACCCCCCAACCCCCCTCCCCGATTGCCTGTTTGCTCATCAGACTCTGGGTGGATGTTGCCTCCCCGCCCCTCCTTGTGCCGATCTAGAACCGGCCTCCCCGTACAACTCTAGAATGAAAAAAAAAAAAGGAAATGCAACGCCGGTGTCAGATCGACGGCCGAGCGCAACTTTTACTAGCACTGCTTATCAGTGGAGTTTGGGGCGAGCTGCTGTCTGTCACGTCCCCCTTCCCCCTCTGTTTTTTATATTCATTCGTTTAACCTGCCTCTGGTTTATATTTTAGGAATCAAGACGAAATGCCTGATGCTGTGTAGTATAAAGCAAGAAACATTATATACAGTATATATAAATATATATATTTATGTGTAAATATATTATTTATATATATTTGTTTGCTTTTTACAGGTTTTCTTTGCCTTTTCTTTGGGTGACAACAATAGTCAACATTTTAGAGGCAGGGTGTGGGGCTTTTTCTTCTTCTTTTTTTTTTAGCTTTAACTCTGAAGGAGAAAATAATCCAAATGCAAAAACATTGCTTGTCTCTTCGTCAAAAACCAAATTCCTTTGCTAAAAAGAGTGAAAAAGACAGCGAATCTGTCAATGTATTAAGTGTACAAATTGTTTTGATAGCTGCACAGTCAGATATTGGGTTCATATCCCCCTCCCATGGTATTCATGTTTATTTCTTTATAAAAAAAAAAAAAAGAAAAGAAAAAAAGCTGCTCTACAAACTGACATACTAACAAAAAAAAAGAGGCCGCCCATCACCAGACAATGACCAATCGTAACCCTCTCTGTACCACACTTCCTGTCCTGCTATCCAATCACATGAAAGCAGGGGCCAGCTTTTGGTGCTCTAATGGTCCACTTTGTTACACAAAGTATTTATTTTTGTTTTATTTATTTGTCATTTTATACTTTTTTCCCAAAACGCCATAATCATAGTCTAACCGATCTGATCCGATTGTTTTTTTTCTGCTAAATGTGGTACAGGTGTTATCTATCTCATATAATGTTACGGACGTGGGATGGGGTGGGGGGAGATGTTAAGCTATGACATTTTAGTATGTTTACTTTTTTTGTTTTTGTATTTTATTTTCTAATTCAGACTCGCTGCAGCAATAAGTGAGTGAGATTTGAGTACCAAACGCCCCCTTGCCTGACTCTATAAGAAGTGTTTTCAGTGTATATGTTGCTTTTTTCCATGTCTCACAGTTACTGTACATTTTGTACAAAGATTCAAATTACAGCAGTAAACGAAGAGTGTAACACTGTCTGAGTGACACACACATGCACACACTCTTTTCACAAGGCTAACTGTTTTTTGGCCCAAATCAAACTATAAAGGATAATGTAGTTGCTCTTACAGTGATGGTGGTTCTTAAAGGTCTAATATACCATTTGCTACATGTTTCTAAAGAGGCAAAATGAACTTATCATTTGCAAACTGATGGTTTCAGTGGCACTATGCATTGCATATCCTATATGATTTTGGATCTAGCTCTTAAACTGCACTCACCATATCTCTCGCAGACACATGGCTAATCATGACAGAAACTTCTACATCATTTTTTTTAATACGTTTACCAAGCAAATTTTCTAGATACATCTGTCACCTTTAGAAGAAAATAAGAAGCCTATGTTATTGTCTGTTCCCATAGTCTATAAAAAGAAGTTCACTTCGAAAAACGTCCGTAGACTGGAAGAACATTAATTTTAGTGTTTAAAATGGACAAAATAAGTTGTTTTTAAAGTTACCATCTTGCAGATGGTTTGTAGTAATGCATCAGCAACTGCTGAGTTCCCAGATTCTGCTTAGTTTATGTTATTAGACTCTATATATTATGTTATTAGATCTTTAAACCAGAGCAACAGAGGTTAGGAGTTTACAGCGACGAGCCACAGACATCAGAGAAGTGTTACACACACACCACTCAATAGGCAACTCATGAATGTTATTTAGATTTTCAGCTCATCTCATTAAAATCCATGCAGAATTAGATTTTACAGTATTAACAGCCTAAACTAGTTTTATTTAGCTGATCATTTTACAAACATTACTAAAACAAAATGAATTGAATAATTATTCTTGACAGAAGATTGGGGTTCTATAAGTCGTAGCCATTGTCATTTATTATTATTGTTTATCATTTAAAGTAATAAGGGCCTAATACATATCTTGAGTTCATGACACTAGACATTTCAATGCTGATTTTAGGACAAGGTTGTTATTTTAGATAATTTTTATTGAAGTTTGATTACTACAGTGTTGGTTATTTAGAGCCCGTGCCTTTTTTTGTAGGGACTGGGAAGCTTTTATTCAGTCTTTTACACTATCAACTCGACGTGGACTGCATGGACACCCTACTGGACTGAATGTGTTTCTCAACACTTTCATTCGGAGCCATCTGCTGGAGAGATATCGACTACATCTAATATGACTGAAGAACTGCTCATATACGAGTAATATAATATAATGCAGTAGAACATCCTTCAAGTCAACTTAGCCTCTCTTTTTTTTTTCTTCACAAAAGCCAAAACAATTCGCAATAAGAAATTATTATATAAACCCATATTTTTTTAATATTTTTGGTTGAGCAGACCATACTGTAAAACTTGGATGTTTAAGTCATTTCAATTTAAATTACATTAAACTGGTTTAAAATTTAGTTGATTATTGTATAAATTGTTTTGAGTATTTTTCATAATTGTCATTGTCAATCTGAAGTAATACCGCCGCAAGTTTCTCGATACCATAAACAGAGTGTGTACAACATTTGGCTCTAAACTTGACACTTGACTAAAGTTTGCATTGGTTTGTGTGAGCAGCAGAATGATTTCAACCAGCGCTCAAAATGGCTCTTCAGGCAGTTTAGGAGTTTACAACACCCCCATTGGGCGACACACGTTACAAGAAAATAACTTTTGGCGCTTCGCCCCAGAAGGCTGAATCCCTCATTGGGTCGCATTCAAAACCTAAGGTGAAATTTAAACATAGATAAGTATTATTATAAATAATCGTTTAAATCTATCACTTGCATAAATTCTAATCACCTTAAACGGCAAACTCAATAAAAAATGTCATTAATCTGTATTAAATGGCGACGTTGATTGGTCCAGCTTGAACAGCGCTGGAAAAAATAACAAATACCACGTGACAAGGCCGGTCTAGTGCCCCTTCAACAGCGGATTTGGCAATAATTACACCTTGATAATGACAAAACATATTTAGGAATAAAAGATTATTATTTATAAATCCTCCCATTTTAGATTCCTAATGGCTTAGCCATTCTAGTCGCTTATTCTATGAACTGTCCTTATTGCAGTTTGTAGTTTCCGCCAGCCCAGCAGGCGGCGCTCTACTCCGTTATCAAATTACGTATTATACACGCGCCGGTCAGTGTGCTCGTACGTATTTTGTAAACAGTCGCTTTTCTGTATAAAATAATTCCATTAATTTTTCTCCATGGACGAAGAATACTACGGCAATGTTGGAGAATGGGAGGGTCACGACGGCAACACGGTAGTTTAGCCACACCAAGATAATAGAATTATAATCTATTATCCTAACTACTACTTTAAACTCAAGACTTGCTTTTCATACCCTTACTAAAATACTGTGGTTGTATCATGTTTAACATTTTCTTATACCATTATTTATATCGAACTCTTGTGTAGTTCAAATAATAACGTGGTGACGTTTCGTTAAAAATCCACGATTCTACCATGATGCCAAATAAAACAAAGTAACTTACATGGACAAAACGATGTATTACTATGGTACCGTCCAACAAAAATGTGTTTTGCTAGTGGTGTCGTAGATGTCCGTAAACACAATTGTAAACCATATGATTAACTTAAATGTAATATTTCAGTAACGATAGTTAATATGTTGGATTGTAATATGCACAAGTGATCAATGATAAAGAGAACCATTAAAATATCGTTAAATAGCTTAAATTTGATTTGCAACTAAAAGATGCTTAACAATTGTCTATCGCTTCAGGAGGATGGATACGCGGATGCTGAGACTGATGGAAAAGTTCAGGAGGAGTGTCTGC